CAAAGGAAATGTTATTTCCACTAACATTATTTTCTAATAACAAAAAGTTATTGTGCTATTGTTTATCCATAAGGAAAACTATGAGGCCATTTAAAATATTAAAAATGGCCTGAAAGGTTATACATTAATATGTAAAAATGATTATCTTTGGGATAGGGTTATAATATATTTTTTGTTATCTGTATTCTCTAACTTGCCTACAATAACATGGACTGCATGTGAAGTCATAAAATAAGTTGTAAAAGATATTTTTCAAAGGAACATATAACTAAGGAATGTAGGAGAGTGCTAAAGGCCTGTAAGATTCATATCTAAGCCTAATATAAATAAATACTCTACCAAAATAAGCTGAGGCTTGTGAAAAGTACCAAGAACAACAAAAATTGTTTTGTGTTTTAGTTACATTTAAAGTACAAAGAACCAGGGGCGCCTGGGTGGCTCAGATGGTTAAGTGTCTGCCTTCGGCTCAGGTCATGATCCCAGGGTCCTGGGATCGAGTCCCGCGTTGGGCTCCCTGCTCCTTGGGAGCCTGCTTCTCCCTCTGCCTCTCTCTCTCTCTGTCTTTCATGAATACATAAATAAAATCTTAAAAAAAAAAAATAAATAAAAGTACAAAGAACCAAAAAAGGGATAGGCTCATTATTTGGGGTGCTAGGCGAATACATCACCAATGTTAAATTATAGGCTGAGAGTACAAGCAGGATTTTTATTTTGCTTCAATCTTCACTCAAACACAATGATATGCGGAATGAGAAGAGTAGAACTGAACCTCAAGATAGTGAGGGGTGTGTAACAGAGTGCTTTTATCCACTCTGAATGTGTTTAAGTCACAATGGCCCAAGTGACTGCTCCCCAACATACCAGAGATTTTCCAGGTGAGTTGACTATACTGCTGCTGGTAATCTGAGAGACCCTGGCGAACAGGAGTGGTGCTGAAAGACTAGAAGTAGGCAAATGCAGTTTTGATTTTCAAAGTGGGGAGATAGGTAGATTCCACAAACTAGAGCAGTGAACTTGACATTCATTCTAGGCAAAATTCTGGCTGGATTTATTAAATCCATTCAGAAAGAAAAGCCCTGATCACTAAGTATCAAATCATTACAGATTAATACTCTTACTGGCTTTTGGGAATTTGTATTTCAATAAGGCATCTTGGAAAGTCTCTTAGACTATCCATGTGAACAAAACAGAACAATTAGGTAGATCAGTTGAACATCCTGGACAAAAGACTACTCTTTTTTTGGTTTGTTTTTTAAGATTTTATTTATTTATTTGACAGAGAGAGAGAGAGACAGGCAGCACAAGCAGGGAGAGCTTCAGGCAGAGAGAGAGGGAGAAGCAGGCCTCCCGCTGAGCAGGGAGCCCAACTCGGGGCTTGATCCCAGGACCCTGGGATCATGACCTGAGCCAAAGGCAGTTGCTTAACCAACTGAGCCACCCAGGTGCCCCACAAAAGACTACTGTTTAATGGGTTGACGTAAATGTATAGAGAGGTATCCAGTGATGGCCTGAGGGCTTGGTCCTCAGTTTGGACTTGTTCATCCTTTTATAAATGACTTGGAGGACACAGATGTGCCTATTTATCCAACCTGCAGCTGACCCAAAGCTAAGAGGGAGGGCTAATACAAAGGATGACCAAATCAGGATCCAAAAATGTCTTGACAAGCTAGAACTCAGTGTCAAATCTAACAAGATGAAATTTAACAAGGGTAAATGTAAGTCTGACTCTTTAAGTCCAGAAGATCAATACCAGTACCAAGACAGGGGAAGTTTGCCTCGATGGTAATTCAAGTGGATAACACCTAGGGTTTTTAATTGACTGAAATCACAGTTTAGGTCCAAAGCCAGGAAGTTAGAAGGGATTAGGGCTTAGCTTCATAAATATTATTTTCCTTGCAGTTCAACATAAACTTTTGATAGATTTGAAAAATGTAATAGGCTACTTCAGGAGGTAAGTATGTCCTTCCTGGAGGTCCTCAAGCCAAAGTTAGATAATTCCCCTGGATGGTGAAGAATCCAGTGGAAGGTTTAGCAGAAGAAATGACCCCACATAGTACCAAGGTTCTACAATCTACTTACATATAAGTAGATGTAATTATAATTAACAAATGGAAAATAAGTTCATTTCAATTGATATAAAATTAACTCCCTGAAAGATCGGCTAAATAGGAAGTTCAAAATTTAGGCTCTCTTTTTTCTCTTTTATTTCCTCCCTTTCCTCTATTAGTTCAAAGACTCTAAAAAGAATGCCAACAGTACTTTCTCACTTCTCATAACTAACTTAAAAATAGTTTAAAACTTATTAGGGGAGAAATATATAGTTTTTATAAATAAAACTAAAACTTTGTGATGAACATAAAATGAAAAGTAATAGTTCCTCTTCTGCTTCCCCCGCCCCCAAATATTCCCCAAACTCTACCAGACTCCCCTAACCTCTAGAAAAGTCTCCTTCTCCAACTCCCTGAGGACTTACTCTGACCTGCTCCGTTTCCAACCTGGGCCGGTTCACCCCTCCTTAGGCAACCTGGTGGTCCCCTGCTCCCGGGAGGTCACCATATTGATGCCGAACTTAGTGCAGACACCTGATCGGCATAGCGCCCTCCAGCCCAGAACTCCTGGGCTCAAGCGATCCTCCTGCTTCAGCCTCCCGAGTAGCTAGGACTAGAGGCGCACGCCACCGCACCCGGCAGGACTTACTCTGTATACCATGACCACTTTTATTATACATCATTTTGTTTTCTTGCCAACAAGACCAGAAGCTCCTAAAGGCAAGATTTCTTTTACTTCTGTGTAGCTCATGTACCAAATATAGGCATTCCATAGAAAAACAACGTTTGGGGCTGCCCGGATGGCTTAATCATTAAGCGTCTGCCTTCGGCTTGGGTCATGAGCCCAGGGTCCTGGGATGGAGCCCGGCATCAGGCTCCCTGCTCTGCGGGAAGCCTGCTTCTCCCTCTCCCACTCCCCCTGCTTGTGCTTCCTCTCTTGCTGTATCTCTCTCTGTCAAATAAATAAATAAATAAAATCTTAAAAAAAAAATAACCCACAACGTTTGTTGAACTTTGATACTTCTAAGATGAGAAATAGCAATATTCTTTAGATTGCTAAAAGTCTTTCACTTCATATTTAAGTGGACATTGCTTGGTTTTGCCATCCTAGCATTTATTATCTATCTAACCTACCTATCTAGCTCATCATCGGTTTATAGAGATCCATCCAATTGTGCTAGTAAAAGAAAGCAATCTGCCAATCAGAGCATCACAATCCCTTAGACATGATTCAATCTACACAAATGAGATGCCATCAAGTTGAAGGTGAGAGGATATAAAGGACCAAAAAATAATACAAACATCTTGGGACCAATGGAATGAACCTAACCTATCCAAGTGTGGAACTAACACCCAAAAGAGCAAACCTGAGAGGGACTCTGGTGACATAATTTAGCACACCTATTATGTATTATATTCACTCCATTCTTGACTTCAGAATTGTCTGACTTTCAAGCCTTCTCCTCCACCAGGCATACTACCCTGACTCCCTAGGTCTTTATCCTGACGCTCAAGGAACTCTTTTCATCAGGTGTGAGAGGTAGAATCTGATGGAAAGAAGAGAAGGAAAGACAACAAAAAAGAATAAAAAACAGAAATGTAAAAAGAAACATACACATATATATGCAAGCTGACTATGAGTGATATATTATGGACTTGCAAATGGTAACAGCATGAAATGCTAAAAGAATGAGAAAATGGAGGTTTTCGGGTGTGCACATTGGTAGAAAAAAACGCTTTACAGGGAAGGGGCATGTAGGATGCTATTTGCATTACGTGTCCATGGCAAACCTCTTGTGCCACTCTCTCTTGGTCATTAGCCACAATAGCCAACTTTCAGTTCTTAAAAACTAAAGTTCTTGGGAAGCCTAGGTGGCTTAGTCAGTTGTGCGGAGGACTTCCCGATTTCGGCTGAGGTCATGATCTCAGGGTTGGGGATCAAGCCCCATGCTGGGCTCCAAACTGGCTGTGTAGCCTGTTTAAGATTCTCTCTCCCCTCCCCCTCTCTCTCTTAAAAAAAAAAACACACCAAAAAAAGCTAAAGTTCTTTCCTGTCTGAAAGCAATTATGTCACTGTCTGATGCTCTTTCCCCAAATCCTCTCACCACTGGCTCTTTTCTCACACTTCCAATCTCTGTTCAAATGTCACCACTTCAGAGATGTCTTTCCAGGCCAACCAATCTAACCTGGGCCTTTCTTTCCATCACCTCTTACTTCCTTCAAAGCTCTTAACACCAACTCTATTTACTTAAAATGTTTAGTTTATAGACTCTTTACCAATGGAATGTAAGCCTCCTGAAAGCAGGGATTCTTGTCTTGAACACCTCTTTTTCTTTATACCCAAATTCTGGCAGAGAGCGACAGATAATGAATAAATTATTATTTATGGAAGAGAATGAATGACAGAGAGAAAATAACTTGGGAGGAAAATCGGCCTTGTAGTCAGGCTATTCCTAGGGAAGGCGATAGGAAGGGGGGCGGGAAAAGCCAGCTGGGCCGGAGACTGCATAGGGAGCTCAAGGTTTACTTCGGTGAGAGTGGAAGGTGTCGGTCGGATCAGGGCTTCAGGCTTCCCCTGGCCACCCGAAGGGTGGGCGGCTGGGTGGTCAAAGGGGCATACGCCACTTAGTGCCCAATTCCTGGGCGTCCCCTGTGCGGAAAGCAAACGCTAGGCTCTCTTCAGACCCCCCCCCACTCCCCCCCCCCAACCTAGGTCCCGCCCCGTGGACCTTACGCAGTCGTCTTCCACGCAATCGCTAGCCCGTGGGCACCAAACTTATGACCCGGGCGGAGCCCCTGTGGAGCAGCAACAAGTGAGAAACGACCACCCTCCGCCCGTCCACACAGAAGATCTGATACCTGCCCCGCATCCCGGCCCGGGCTCACCCGCCGGCTGACGTGCTTCTCCCCGCCCCCAGCCCTCCCCGCGGCCCTACTCGGGCCCTCACTTACGCTTGTCTCCGAGCTATGAGCCGATGCATGGGAGTCGCCATCTTAGCGCGGCTGAGGACTGCCGCGCTGGGTTTTGGGAAACTCCTCGGAAGGGGCGGGGACTTCGGACCTTGCGTCCGCCTGCCTGGGCGGAGCCAGTCCGGCCTCGGGGGCTTCTGGGGCAAATTTTGGGGTAAGCCCTGGGTGGGTAGGTGGTAGGTCTTGTCCCCTGTGTAGTTCTGTAGTTGAAGAAAGAAAAATGAGGCGGTTGTCTCACATGAACAGGCTTTTGAAGGATGAGTACAAGGTATACTGCGTGAAGAGGCAGGGAGAAACATTTTCAAACGAGGGAAATATATATACATATATACATAACTATGAATAAAACTGTGGAGTGTTCAGGAAGTAGTCTGGAAAGCAAAATAAAAAGGAATGAATTGAGCGAGATTGGGACCATAAATTGAAAGACTGACTTTAGTAAACCATATAGTGCAAATATGTTAATTATTTCTATATGTATTTCATAGGGATGGTTAAGGACCAAATGACACTATGTAACTAAAGCTACTTTGTCTACTGGAAAAAGTTTATACAAACATTAATTATTTTAGGATATTTTAGCATTTAGTGGCAGATCATGGAAATTTTATTCCCTTAAATCCACATTCTTTGAGCCATATATAACTTTTTGAAATATATATGTGTGCATGTTTCTGGGCTTCCACTCATTTTTTTCAGGTATTATTTATGGAGCGCCTAAAATGTTTTAAAAAGTGAGGATAGAGCATTGAGCAAATATAGTCCTTGCACACATGGAGCTTTCTGCAAACAATAAACAAAGGCAATGTCCAATGAGCATACATACTCTAAAGAAAAAAATTCAGGGTAAGGGGATAAAAAGTGGTTTAGCACTGGGAGCTAGAGAAGGTGATATCCTTGACCTTTGAGCACATCTTGTTCTTAACAAAATGGAATCTTACTATCTGTTCTATTCTTCAGCTTGCTTCGTTCATTTCTCAGTGTACTTATGGACATCTTTTTCCATGTGAGCACATACAGATTTGATTCATTCTTTTTCTATGTTAAGTTATATGGATTACATGGATATTCCACAATTTATCCAACTAGTACCCAATTTTGTGTATTTTTTTAAAGATTTTATTTATTTATTTGTCAGAGAGAGAGAGTGGGTGTGCACACAAGCAGGGAGAGGGGCAGGCAGAGGGAGAAGCGTGCTCCTCAATAAGCAAGGAGCCCGATGTGGAACTCCATCCCAGGACCCTGGGATCATGACCTGAGCTGAAGGCAGACGTTTAACCGACTGAGCCACCCAGGTGTCCCCAGTACCCAATTTTGAACAATTAGATCATTTACCACAAATATGGGATGAATATATTTTTAAACACTCATCTGTCTTTCTGTTATATGACTTTCTGGAAGTAGAATCACTGGGTCAAAGGGTATATGCACTTTTAATTTGATTGGTATTACCTACTATCCTTTAAATAGGTTTTACCCAAACGTGTTTCCTCACCAAAACTGAGAATGGTTAAACTTTTAAACTCTTTCATATCTAATAAGCCAACTGATACATTATTGATGAGGGTAAGTACTTTTCATATGATCATTGGAGACTATTTTTTTCATGAATTATCTGTCAAAATCTTTGCTTAGTTTTCTATTGGATTTTTATCTTTTTAATAATGATTTGTAGAAACTTTTAATATTTTATATAAAGACACTTTGTTTTATATTTTACAAATATCTTTCCTTTCAACTTTGTGATCATTTACTCTGTACAGGGGCATTACATTGTTAAATAGGCATTTTTTTCTAACTTTTTTTTTTTAAATAGGCTCCACACTGGTCATGAACTCACAACCCCAAGATGGAGACCTGAGCTGAAATCAAGAGTCAGACACTTACCTGACCGAACCATGCAGGTGTCCCCTAAATAGGAATTTTTTTTTTCAATTTAAAGATTTTATTTATTTATCTTAGAGAGAGAGCGCATTTGCACTTGGTGGGGTGGGGGCAGAGGGAGAGGGAGAGAGAGAGAACCTCAAGCTGACTCCCCACAGAGTGTGGAGCCCGACATGGCTCTTGATCCTATGACCTGAGCTGAAATCAAAAGTCGAACATTTAACCAGCTGAGCCACCCAGGTGCCCCCCTACATAGGCATTTTTTTTTTAAAGATTTTATTTATTTATTTGAGAGAGAGAATGAGAGATAGAGAGCACGAGAGGGAAGAGGGTCAGAGGGAGAAGCAGACTCCCTGCTGAGCAGGGAGCCCGATGTGGGACTCGATCCCGGGGCTCCAGGATCATGACCTGAACCGAAGGCAGTCGCTTAACCGACTGAGCCACCCAGGCGCCCTACATAGGCATTTTTAACAATCTTTTTCTTTATGGGTTCCTGGATTTGACTCATGCTTAGAATGGCCTTTTATGTCCCAAGATTATTGAAACGTGTTTTGAGCAGCACTGAGCTGGCTCAGTCAGTAGAGCATGTGAGTCTTGATGTCAGAATTGGGAGTTCAAGCCCCCAAGTTGATGTAGAGAATACTTAAAAATAAATAAATAAATAAATAATAAAATATTTTCTTGTATTTTATTATAATTCTTTAGTTACAATTATGGTTATATTCTTAATCCTCATTTTTAGTTTTTGAAACACCATTTACTAAATAATCTATCACTTCTTTACTGATCTGAAATTCTACTTTCTTGTATACTAAATATGTACAAATTTAGTTTGAACATTTTGTTTTCTTCTGAAGATCTATTTTGGTCAGGATGTGTCATTATTTCAATTTCCATGATTCAATAGGATATTTTGATATCTGGCATGGTAATCCCTCCTAATTAATCCTTCTTTTTCCTCAGTTTTCTTCATTGCTCCTAGGCATTTATTTCCCTAGATAAGCTGTATTCTCAAATTTTCTAGTTTCACACAAAACAAGATTCATCTGCCAGCTAATTTTAAAAGAAACTGCATTATAACAAATATGAAAAGATGAGACAGAATGAGCTATGACAAATCAAAAGGAGAAAGCAAATGGCATTATTTGTGATGATTTGGTTGCATACCTGGAAAGCCTACAAGAATTAATTAAAAGCCTCTGGAGAGTTCAACATTGGGGTCAGATACATATACACAAAATACAATACTAACTTGCTTTTTCAGGGCAAGAGCAAGCCAATGTAGCTGTTTCCCATTGAGGCCTGTGGGCTTGAGGGACCCTCAGCTTTGTTCAGAGAATTTAGGCCAAAATTCAGAGGCTGAGTTTTGTGAACCTTAATGGGTTGCAGCTGAAGGAATCAAAAATTCTTGTGAAAGCTGCAAGTAATTTCTATCTGGCAAGAGTGAATATTTTACTAGCCTTTAAGCAGACTGTTTATTCTAGGAAAACCTCCTAAGTGTCTTCCAGTTACATAAGATGTCTCAAAGGACTGGGGGAAGGATGGATGTAAAAGACATGTGTTGGAGAGAAAAGTGCATCTCTCTGGCCTGGGATGCTTTGGGGCAAGATGGTTGTTTCCTGCTTGGACCCTGGCCTGTTAGAGAGCACCTGTGGTTCAAGAGCGGAGCACAGAACAGGACCTGCTTCAGGGGCAAACTATGTACAGTTCAGGGCCTTGTGCTTAGAAAAGTCCCACATTTGGTTTAATGCTCTGCTACTGCCATTTTTAAAAATTCATAGTAACTTTTGAACAGGGTGCCCTGCATTTTAGTTTTGCTCTGCGCCCTATACATTACGTAAATGGTCTGCACCAGAAATTGGTCAAAGTGTTTTCACCAGACACTGTGAGACGAGTGAAATGCAAACTAGCTCCATCAGGATCAGAAGAGGTGAGAGGAGAGAGGAGAACTGATTTTCCTGGAATTCAGAATCAGTCTTCTCCCTGAAGATTGTTGGCTATTGTTTAAAAAAAAAAAAGTTTTTTGGGGGGCACCTGGGTGGCTCAGTCATTAAGCGTCTGCCTTAGGCTCAGGTCATGATCCCAGAGTCCTCGGATTGAGCCCCACATCGGGCTCCCTGCTCCGCGGGAAGCCTGCTTCTCCCTCTCCCACTCCCCCTGCTTGTGTTCCTTCTCTCGCTGTGTCTCTCTGTCAAATAAATAAATAAAATCTTAAAAAAAAAAGGGGGGGGCGCCTGGGTGGCTCAGTCGTTGCGCATCTGCCTTCAGCTCAGGTCATGATTCCAGGGTCCTGGGATTGAGCCCCGCATCGGGCTCCCTGCTTGGCAGGAAGCCTGCTTCTCCCGCTCCCCCTGCTTGTGTTCCCTCTTTCGCTGTCTCTCTCTCTCTGTCAAATAAATAAATAAAATCTTAAAAAAAAATAAATAAATAAGACAGAGAGTCAGAGCAGGGTGACTATATGTCCTGTAAAGAGGAGTAGCCATGCAAGGGGACTGGCAGAAGGGCTTTTGGGCCTCTGTGGGTATGAGGCTCTGGTTCCCCAGATGAAGAAAGAAACTCTTCCATCCATCTTTGGGCAGAGAGGCGAGAACAGCGCCTGAAGTTCCTTGGAATTGGGGGAGAGCTGCCTTCCTCAGTTGCTTCTACTTCTTGAGATGGCTTGACAGCTAACTACTTAACAGTTGTGTCACATTCTTTTATCTTCAGACAGAGCTGCTGGGACTCCTCAGTCTTGGGGCCTTGATCTAACACTGTGCTGTGACATAGCTTCATGGAGTGCTCCTAACTCTGTGTGATTCTGAGTGCAGGATTTGCTCCTTCCCTCTCTTGTAATTAACGGATCTGCAGGAAGAGAAAAGGAAGTTGACATGCTGAGAGGACCAGAGATGAGAGACAGAACAATAACTACCTAGACTTGATTGTTTTCCTTTTAGATTATCGTGGCTTCTCTTTAGTAAATCCCTTTTGTGATGAAGATGGTTCAAGTTAGGGGGCACCTGGCTGGCTCCCAGTCAGTAGAGCATGTGACTTTTGATCTCAGGGTTGTGAATTCAAGCCCCACACTGGGCATGGAGCCAACTTAAAAAAAAAAAAGATGGTTCAAGTTAGGTTTCTGTCTTGCCCCCAAAGAATCTTTGATTTTATCACCAGAGGTAGG